TTCTGTTCTGTTCTATTCTGTTCTATCCTATTCTGTTCTATCAAATCAAGGCTTTTGTGTGAAGCCATCGAGACCAAAGCCCGTAAACGTCGTAGGATTGGTCAGGTCTCCATCTGTCACCTTGGTGGGGGGACGATCCAAGTTGAGGCCAGGTATGTGAGCTAGGGTTGAGGGTTGAGGGTTTAGNNCGGGCTCTCGGGGCTGAACTTTGGGGGCTTTACGGTTTAGGGTTTAGGGTTTAGGGGTTTAGGGGTTTAGGGGTTTAGGGTTTAGGGTTTATGGTTTAGGGCTAAGGGTTTAGGGGTTTAGGGGTTTAGGGTTTAGGGTTTAGGCTCTAGGGGTTTCGGGTTTAGGGGTGTAGGGCTTTGGGTGTAGGCGTTTACTTTAGGGGTTGAAGGCTTCGGGCTCTCGGGGCTGAACTTTGGGGTCTTTACGGTTTAGGGTTTAGGGTTTAGGGTCACACTGCAGGCCCTGTGGGGATTTACGCCCTGGGATTGGGGCTCAGGCTACAACTTCTCAAAGAGAGTACGATCAAGGGACCATGCTGGGCTTGGAGTCGAACCATATGCTGCAAGGTGGTAAGGGTACGGGGAGTTTCAGGTTCCAGGGTTTAGGGTTTAGGGGTTTAGGGTTTCGGGGTTTAGGATTTAGGGTTACGGGAAATGTGCTGCACGATCTTATTGAGCGTCAGAAGACGACGCTTGCCCAACTGATCAATCAGATGATGAATGCTTTCAGCAATTTCCCTAAAGGTCCAGAGGACCCGATAAGGGACTTTGGTTGCGGATAGTAGTTATCTAAGTTAATATTTGGGAGAGTATATGATTATTAGGCATTTGGACCCTTAGGGTTTTAGTTGGGCTTGGAGCTTTCTATCAGGATTTAGCATTGGCCTTTTTCCCGCGTGTGGTCTGGGCTAGGTCATTGAGGTTGGGTTTGGGCTCTCCATGTACGCCTCGAAAACACGCGCCCAGGGCTTCTCCAAACTGCAACTGCTTTCTGGCTGCGCTTCAAGGACCCAATGGCAGCAAGTGTTAACAATGAAGACACTAAGGATCATCACAGTAGTAGCAATGGCCATAACAATAATAAATAGGAGCAGTACTACGAGTCAGAACACTGCCAATAGCAACAAGAACTCTAGCAATAAACGTTCTTGTCCAGTCGTGAACAGTCGTACACCCGAGATGCGGAGGCTTTCGGCGAGCATCGAGTTTTCGACACCGTGCCGCAGAGCGAGGGGTGTCGGGTTTAGGGTGCAGGACCTTGGGGTTCGGGTTGTTCGGATTTTGGGGGTTTGGGGGGGGTATCTTAGGGGTGTAGGGCTCTAGGGTTTAGGGTTTAGGAACCCCTAAACCCTAAACCCTAAAAGCCCCAAACCGTGTTGCGGTTTACCGGGGTTTGGGGTATTTAGGGGGTGAGGAAGTAATGTGTCGGCTTGCGGGTTGGGTGGAGATTGAGGGGGCTCTCAGTAAACTTGCACACCCTGAACCCCATGCAAACCGAAGCCATGAACTGCAGTAGAAGTATGAACTCTTGCGAAAATGTGCAGTAACAGTATCCTGTCATATGCCAGGAACTATGCGAACCCACTCTGTTGATTAAAGCTTGAGAACAAAACTGAGGAGGGCCTCCTCACCACAAGCCGCCCCGGTCGCCCACTGCCCCGCTATGCACGCCTCGGGCACCTCTGCGATCAAAGATATCGCTTTAAAGTGGGGTCCCTAAACCCTAAACCCAAAATCCTAAACCCTAAACCCATTACAGTATTCTTGAGGTTTCCTTTTTTATGCTTTTCTTATAGTATGCCCTGAAACCCAGTTCTCACTACCAAGGCCCCCGATGATTGGGCGCTGGATTGTTATGGGATGCAGCGTTTGGAGTTTGAAGCCACGAGCTGTGGTTTGTTCGGAATAGTTCAGTGCAGACTTATCATAAACCCTAAACCCTAAACCCTAAACCCTAAACCCATCCCTTTTGTTTGTGTCCTGGCTTTCTGCTTTCGAAGCGAATGAATGCGGGAACCTGCTTGAGAAACCTCGGGTCTTTATTAGGTCTCTTCAGATGAATCCGAAGATTTTGCCCTTATCCCGCAACCGTAAACCCTAAACCTTAAACCCTAAACCCTAGGCCCAAAACCCTAAACCCTAAGGACGTCGGACTGTAAGGTTCGGGAAACGCTAAACCTCTAAACCCCTAAACCCCTAAACCCCTAAACCCTAAACCCTAACCATAAACCCACATACCACAAACCCCAAAGCCCTAAACCCTAAACCCCTAAACCCCTAAACCCCTAAACCCTAAACCGGCCTTGTGCAGTCTGTTGCAGGGGATGTAATGTAGTGGCCTTAGCAACTGAAGTAAGGTTTTTGGCTCCTTCATTAGGGTTTAGGGTTTAGGGTTTAGGGTTTTATTATAGTAGGCTTATAGGAACCCAGGGGGCCTGAACAACTAAGGTGGGTTTTTGGGCTATATTTTTGTATAAGTGGAGAAGAAATAAGGAACGCTAGAAAAAAGGGGGGAAGCAATTCGGCTTCTATAGCATAGTATACCTATAATAAGGAACCCTAAACCCTAAACCCCTAATAAATCAGGAGCCTTAAGCATAGTGTTGGTACCTAAACCCTAAACCCTAAACCCTAAACCCTAAACTCCTAAACCCTAAACCCCTAAGTTTAGGCTTCTACAGTTGGAGGGGCCGGCTCCCTGGTTTTGATGAAGCCTGGGGGGTCCCAGGGTGCATCGGGAGATGAACCTAATATACGGGCCTCAATAATCACCAATATTATTTTGGGGTTCCTTATTATATCCATAATATAATGGGCCCATAAACCCTATTCTAATCATTGAGGTCCCTATATTAGTGTGCATGTGTGCGTGGTATCGGTGCATCCTGTAGCTTCCACACTGCACACTTGCGTACTCGTCGTTTCGCGTCTCTCAGTTTCGCAGAAAATTTGCCAGTTTTTGCTTCTTGGACTGCGCATAAGAGTTCTTGAGCGCATGCGTGGGCTGCATTGGCTTGGCAACCCTCAACCCCTGAACCCCTGAACCCTAATCCCAAAGCCCTTGAACCCTAAAACCTAATCCCTAAACCCGAAATGGCATCGCAGCATGGTTGATTCCTCCAGTCTCGCCGAGTTCCCAAACTTCGGTCGACTTTGACAGAGGCTGTAGAGTGTAGAGCTTCAGATACTTTTTGTTCAACTGCCTGTCGTGAAAGAATCTTGGAGGTCTTAGGTTTCGGGCTCTCTGGCTGGATCCCCCCCCCCGAAAAAAGCCGTGTGTTGGCTGGTTGTAGTGCTCCTCAAGGTCCGGTAGGACATCGGCGCCGGTGGCTTCTTATCACCAGGGCTTTTCAAGATCCGGAAAATTGCGTTTGTTTCTGAGGTTTCTTTGCTGGGACCACGATTCGCGGTATGACCTTCGCCACATTGCGCTGGAGTCATGAGGCCGGATGCTAGAACCGGACAGAACCGATGAAAATAACAGGCATAGGCGTCGGACTTGCGTTGGAGTTGGAATACATACTATATCCTCTACTTTTACACCGAAACCCTACCTGTTCGTTTTGCTGTCATGGTTTCAACTCCGCAAGCATAATCAAGCTCCTTGTCCACACCGCTGAAGCGACAGAAGTGTTCAACTCGGCGAAGCGCCGCCAAGAACCCTGAAACGTTTGCATTCTGGCAAGCCCTGCCAAGGAAACCGTACTATTAAACCCTAAACCCTGAACCCCGTAATTTGGACACCTGCAGTAGCGTTTAAGGGTTCCTTCAAGGGTTTCTGTAGAGGTGCCTCTTTGGGTTCCTGTAGGGGTTCCGTTAAGGGGACCTTTTCAATAGAACCCTTGCCTTTGTTGCTAGTGCTTTTTCATTAAGTGCTTATGCCCTAAACCTTCAGACGCCAAGCGACGATCCCCTAAACCCATCGAGCACTAAACCTCGCAGTCCTCGTACACGGATACATACCCACAGCCAGCCAGCCAGCCAGCCAGC